GCATCCCAGAATGCCGGAGCCCGGGATCTTCACTTGGGGTGAGGCTGGGAATGTGGGGATTGGGAATTTGGAATTCCCAAATGGGGATTCCCCTTCCCCTTCTCACTATCCCGCGTTTCCCAGAGCCGACATCTGGCGGGAATCTCACCATGGTGGTCACTGTATCCATCATCACTGCCATCCTCATCCTCATTGTCCTCATCGGATTCGGCGTCTGGAAGCTCCAATCTGGTAACACACGGGATGGGGGTCGGGAAGGGACACGGATCCACCCGGCACTGTTCTGGGAATCCTGTGCCACCAACGCTGATCCCACTTTGTTTCCACAGGGAGGAGAGACAGGAATGGATACAACCCGGCAGCTGGTGAGTTCCAGTGGTGGATCCAGCTCTAGATCCCCTCTGTGCAGATCCCAGGATGGATCCTGGGGTTAATCCCAGTGTGTGATCTGTGCTGGAATCTCATGGATCTTCTCTTTCTGCAGGAAGGGACATGGGAACCAACAGCTTCAGCACAGGTATGGAGCAGGATCAGGGTGAGATTCCAAAGGGGGATTGGGGCAGGATGGATGGACTGGGATCAGGGAGGGATTCTGGATCAGGGCAGGGGTCCATGCAGAGTGAGATTAGGGGGAATTGTAGAGTGGGACTGGGGCTGGATTCTGGAGCAGGATTAGGTGGGATGGATGGAGCAGGATCGGTCCAGGATGGATAGCGTGAGATCAGGGAAGGATTCCAGTTCTGAATTGGGTGGGATGGATGGAGCAGGATTGTGGCAGGATTCGGGTAGTATCACGTGGGATCCTGGAGTAGCTCCTGCTCTCCATGGACTCCAGCCAGGTCTACCCTGTGGAATGGGGACAGGGATAGGGTGACACCATGACCTTCTCTCATCCTGGCAGGAATCACTGCCTGAGTGATCCATGGAGCTGGATCTGGCCCCTTCCCTCTTCCCAGGAAAGCTGAGAGCTGCCACCAGAGCTGATCCTGCTGCTCCCACCCACCCCACAGGTCTTTCTAACGGATTCATTTCCAGTTTTCCATTTCCCAGTGTTTTAAAGGCAAGAACCACAAATATTTACAATGCTTTAGTTCTGGTGTGAAATTATCCTGCTTTGGGCAATAAATCTACTTGTGGCAATAAATCCTGCTTTGGGCAATGTCCTGGATTGTCACGCAAATTGTATTCTATTTACCATCTGTATGGCAGTTGTTTTCTGTTAAGTAGGCAATTTTCCTTATCTCTTCTACAACCGGGGAGATATCTGTTGATAACAGGCTATTGAATGTCACTGCCTGACTGATAAGAACTACAGCATCCCAGTGTGAGATGCTCCGCCCAGAGGGGCAAGCCAAACATTCCTACCTGGATATAATCTTGAGGTTCTGGACCACCAGCATGGCTTTCTCCACTGCATCTCCAGAGGAACAGCAGCTGCCTCTCCTTCCACTGGATCTTAGAGGAAGACTGCACCTTTCTAGAGGATCCCTGCTCCAACAGAACCACACCTGACGCTCCAGGAGGACTACAGCCACATTTCCAATGGGACTGCTACCAACAACCTGGCCAACAGGGTGTCAGGTTGTGTTCTGACTCTGTCAGTGTTGTTCTAGTGCACTGCATTGTTTATTTTATCTTTTTATTTTCTTGCCTAGTAAAGAACTGTTATTTCCTGCTCCCATATTTTTGCCTGAGGGTCTCTTAATTCCAAATTTATAGCAATTTGGAGGGGTGGGGAAGGTTTACATTCTCCGTTTCAGGGGAGGCTCCTGCCTTCCTTAGCAGACTCCTGTCTTTCCAAACCAAGACAGATTTTGGCGCCCAACGTGAAGCTCGAGGGCATAGAAACAAAAACGGGATAACAGTTCTTGAGTAATCTAATTTTGTGTGCTGATATAGAAACCTTGTTAGGTGTCACCATGTGGTCCAGCTTGCCCTGGTTTGGGGGGCATGTGACCATGGCTGTATTTGTCCCATTCACACGCCCTCATATAAACATGGGTCCTATAACCAAGGTTGTCTGGTTTGCTTTACAGGTTAATAAAGTGAGGAATTCATGGATTTTTAACTTCCACTGGAAGGCAAGCACGTGGATTCACAGCTATCACACCCTTACTGTATGGGCCCCTCAATGCCTTGCCCCATGACTCAGAGGTAACTCCCTCCAGGAGCCATTTCTGTTTGATGGGCAATCAAGGACCAATCATGACTCAGAACGGTATCAGCTCATTGGGAGATGCTCCACCCAGGGGGGAGGAGCTCAGCATCCCCACCTGGATATAATCTGGGTTTTGGGACAGAACAGGCAGCCCTTACCCACTGGTTTCCAGAGGACAAGAGCTGCCAGATCTTTTCTGCAGAATCACCACTTCAACAAGACCATTTCATCTGGACTGCCACCACCACCCTAACTAGCAGGGTGTCCGGTTTTATTCTGACTCTGTCAGTGGTTTCATTTTGTACTATTGCATGTATTTTTGGGTTTTTTCCCTTTTCCTAATAAATTGTATTTCTGACTTGGAGTCTCTCACTGGTTTTGCTTTCTAACCAGAACATAATTTTGGCACCCAAAGTGGGGCAGCAAGGTTTTTTCTCAAGAACCTGGTTCCACTTGGTGGGTAATGCAGAAGGATGGGGAAACCTCTTGTATACCACCAGGAGACCTATATTTAAGTGAGAACTGTGTATAAAGTTTCATTTTACATTATAGATATGTATAACTGTAACAGAGTATTGTTTTGGGTATAGATGGCAATAGGATAAGGGGTGGATTATGTCCTAGGTTAAAACATAAAGATTTATTCTATTCCCATCCTCAAGAGCTGTTCAGACCAGCAGAGGCATTGTTTTTTCCTTATCTCCTGTTAATGGGCCCCTCAATGTCTTGCCCCATGACTCAGAGGTAACTCCCTCCAGGAGCCATTTCTGTTTGATGGGCAATCAAGGACCAATCATGACTCAGAACGGTATCAGCCCATTGGGAGATGCTCCACCCAGGGGGGAGGAGCTCAGCATCCCTACCTGGATACAACCTGGGCTTTGGGACAGAACAGGCAGCCCTTACCCACTGGTTTCCAGAGGACAAGAGCTGCCAGATCTTTTCTACAGGATCACCACTTCAACAAGACCGTTTCATCTGAACTGTTACCACTGCCCTAACCAGCAGGGTGTCAGGATATATTCTGACTCTGTCAGTAGTTTTATTTTTTATTATTGCATGTCTTTTGGAGTTTTTTTCCCTTTTCCTAATAAATTGTATTTCTGACTTGGAGTCTCTCACTGCTTTTGCTTTCAAACCAGAACATAATTTTGGCGCCCAAGGTAGGGCACCAATGTTTTTGCTCAAGGACCTGGTTACTCTGGGTGGGTAATGCAGAAGGACGGGGAAACCCCTTGTGTACCACAAAGAGACCTAATTTTAAGTGAGATCTGTGTGTAAGGTTTCATTCTGTATTTTATATATATCAATATATCTATACATCTATATATCTTTTATATACATTATTATGTGCATTATACATTTATATATCTTTTTCTTTTGTGTTTCATGTATTTTGGGGGTTTTCCCCTTTTGTAAAAACTCTTATTTCTGACTTGGAGTCTCTCACTGGTTTTGCTTTCAAACCAGAACAACTGGCCACTGGTGATGGTTGTTTGGCTTGATTGACCAATTGGATCCGCGTGTGTGTTGTGACTGTCAGGCAAGGGCCATGGGTTGTTCTTAGTGGTAAAGGATGGTATAACAAAGGGATTGGACAGCCTGCTGCAATCATGGAGTCAATGCTCATTATTCCCCGCTGGGGACTGCTGCTACAACAGGGACTGATGATTTTTCTTTCAGCACTGGACAGTCCTTTTTCCAATGCCCCCATTTCTTACAGGATGCACTCTGAGCCTTCTCCACAGGGGAAGCTTTCTTGGGTGACTTTTCCCGAGTTGCCTTCTTGCTGGGCTGGGATTAACTCTTTCAGTTGGGCCCCTGTCTCAAAACACCTTCCAGGCAACCTCCAGCAGTTTATCCATGTCTTCAACTCCCTTTATCTTTCCTTATGTCTTTTGAAGCCTGACCCACACAAAACAAAACCAGGTGTGCTTTACCATCAACTGATTCAGGATCTAGATCAGTATATTTGATGGCAGATCTCTTCACCTGTTCAAAAATCAGTGGGTGATTCATCATAATTTTGCCTCACTGGGTAAAACTTTGACTAATTTACAGCTTTAGAGACCCCATGTTTTAACCCACATTCCATGAGACTTTGATATCATTTTAATTTTGCCACCTGCTTGGGTGTATTTGCATCCCACCCAGGGTTTCCAAGGGGAAATATCTCAGTGAAAGCGCCTTGAAACAGCTCCCTGGCTGTGCTCCCCTCCAGGAACATTGAGGTGGATTTATTGACCACTCGTCCCTCAGTGGGGTCTGTGGTATTTGCTGGGTCCCCAGGATGAACTAGGAACTGAGAATCTGACTCCATGTTCTTAGAAGGTTAATTTATTATTTTATGCTATTATTTTATATTACAGAATGCTATACTAAAACTCTACTAAAGAATAGAGAAAGGATACAGACAGAAGGCTTAACAAGAATGAATAATAAAAACTTGTGACTCCTTCCAGAGTCCCGACAGAGTTGGATGGTGATTGGTCATTAAGTAAAAACAATTCACATGTTGCATAAACAATCTCCAACCACATCCCAAAGCAGCAAAGCACAGGAGAAGCAAATCAGATAATTATTTTCTTTTTTTCTCTGAGGCTTCTCGCCTTCCCAGGAGAAGAATCCTGGGCAAAGAGGATTTTTTCAGAAAATATGGCAGTGACAATGGTCAAGTGATGTGTCTGACACAGACTTCAGATCAGCCCGGTGTGATTCATACAGAGGGCATTTATATATTTATTCATTCATTCATTTATTTATTCAATTATTCATTTATTTATTTAATTATTAATAGGCTGTATGGTGCACACATGAACTAAGACATTATATTGCACCAACCAGCAGCTACAATGAATCAACGATAATCGATATTGGTATCAAACACTGTATCAAATTGCTGGTGATCAATAACAATGTGTAAAAGGCAATACAAGAGTGCAAAAGGCAATTATTAAATTGGCATTTATGACCCGGCTGTGCTGCAGGCACAGTGGAAAGCTGGAAGCTGCTGAGGGGACCCATTCACCCCTGTCCCCTGTCCCTGACTGTCCCCAGAGTGTCCCTGAGTGTCCCCAGAGTGTCCCCAGTGATGTCACCCCAGGAATTCCCATCAGGATTTGGGACAGTATCATTGAAAATTCCTAGAAAATTCCTCTGCTCCCCAAATCTGTCTCAAATACTGCACAGGGAGGGCACAGGTGACAGCAGTGATGTCCCTGATGATGTCAGTGCTCCCATGTGAAACTTTCCTGCAGCAGCCTCGGGATGTCCTCGATGGCTTTTTGGCACTGCTTGGCCACTGTGCAGCTGCCAGGGCCACCGGGGCCACCACAACCATCATAGGGACTCAAGAGGATGTTGTCGATGACCCCAGGTGTCCTCAGCAGGTGATCCTTGGCCAGGCGGGTGCTGGCCCCCCACAGCCACTCAAACTTGGCCACTTTGGCTACCAAGGCCTGGAGGACATCAGGGGACACCTCGTTTGTCCCCTTCAGGATGGGCTCGATGTCCCTGAGCCGCCACTCCATGTTCCAGTAGAACAAGGTGGCTCTGTCACACGTGGCCACCAAGCGCTGCAGCAGCCCCAGGGCCACCAGTGCCCAATGTCCCCTCCTGGTGGCCACCACAGCCTCTCCCATGGCCTCATTGGTGGCTGCCGCCACCTGGGCATTGTATGTAGCCATTTCCCCGGCCACTTCCTCCTTGTCCAGGGCCACCATCAGCTGCTGGTTCGCGATTACCTTCCTGTGGTTGTCACGGAGCTTGGTGGCCTCCCTGGACATCCAGTCCCAGCGGTCCACGAGCCTGGCCACCAACTCTCGCCAGGCCTTGGCCGCGGCTCTCCCATTGGCCCAGGTGGTCCCAGGGGTGGCCCCGAGGGTGGCCAGGGCCCGGCCCAGGGAGGCGACACCAGGGTGGCCCAGGGAGGCGACATTGCTGTGGTTCAGGATTGCACGAAGGCTCCGGGTGAAGTTCTTCAGGTCCTCATGTAAAGAGTTTGGGGACTTGTCGCTGTGTGGCCCAGTCATGGTGGCCAGCAGCTCGCCCAGGGTGGCCACCACGGCCACCAGCACCTGAAGCTGTGGAGGGGACACCTGTGGAGGAGACAGGGGAGGTGTCAGGGACCTGGTGGCACTTTTGGCCTCCTGCGGTGGCCTCGGTGCCCTCAAGTAGTCCCCTCTGCCCTTCCGTCCCTTTGTCAGCGTCTTGTCCCCACTGCCACCTCCCGCCATCCCCCGTGTCCCCTCCAGTGTCCCCTCTGTTCCCCTCTCCCCACCATCGCACCTCTTGGGGCTCCATGGTCACTGGGGATACATTGGGGACACTCTGGGGATGCTCTGGGGGTCGAAGGAGCCTTGGGATGTCCTCGATGGCTCTTTGACACCGCTCAGCCACCTCACAGGCACTGGGTCTGGCGCAACCACCGGTGAAATAGACCTTGATGATGTTGTCAACTGCCCCCAGCAGGTGATCTTTGGCCAGGTGGGCGTTGGCCTCCCACAGCCGCTCGACCTGGGCCACCTTGGCCACCAAGCCCTTGAGGACATTGAGAGATGCCTCATTTGTCCCCTTCAAGGTGGCCTTGGTGTCCCTGAGCAGGCGCAGCAGCTCCCGGGGGAACGCGGTGGCTTCGTCACACGCGGCCACCAAGCACTCCAGCAGCCCCAGGGCCGCCTCCAGCCGCTGTCTCACCATGGTGGCCCTTGTTGCCTCACTGGCAGCCACCCTGGCCTCTCTCCTCACCTGGGCTCCATGCCCGGCCACCACCTCGGCCCCCTCCTCCCTGCCCAGGGCCTGACCCAGCTCCACCATGTTTTCCTGAGCTGTCCCATAACGTGCAGCCTTGTCCTGCAGCTCCCTGGCCTGGGTGGCAGCGGTGGCCACCCTGTCGGCCGCCTTGGTGGCCAAATCCCTGCAGGCCTTGCGGAGCTTGGTGGCTGCCCTGGCCAGCCGGACCCAGCTGTTCACAAGCGCAGACACCGACCACAGCCACTCACCAACCGCCAATCCCACAGGTAACAAGGTGGTCCCTGGGGTGCTCTTGTAGGCGGCCAGGGTCTGCCTCAGGGCGTTGAAAGGGCTATCATCGTCGGAGGTGACATCTTGGGGCCACCAGGCGTTATCAATGCGGTGCAGGGTGACCCAGAGCTCCCTGGTGAAGAACTCCAGGTCCCAGTACAGGGACCATGGGGACCAGGGCTGCATCATCTCGTCCTGACTGCTCAGCGTGCCCAGCAGCTCACCCAGGGTGGCCACCACGGTTACCTGTGGCTGCAGCAGGGCCGGGGACAGCTGGGGAGGGAAAAAGGAAGGTGTCAGGGACCTGGTGGCACTTACGGCCTCCTGGGGTGGCCCCCTGCCCCCGAAGGGCCCTTTTTGCCCCTCCCTGGAGGGCTCTGCTGCCCGTCTGTCCCTCCCTTGTTACCGCTGCCACCCCTGCCACGTCCCTGGTAGCGCCTGGCACCCTCCTGCCCTCACTGCTGTCCCCTCTGCCACCTCCCCACCCGCCCCGGTATCCTCTCCCTCTTTCAGCACCCCACGTTTTCCCCCCTCCCGTCGCACCTCTATGGGGCTCCATGCTCACTGGGGACACCTTGGGGACGCTCCGCTGCCGAAGGAGCCCCGGCACCAGCTCCGGTCCCGGCCCAGAACAGGCCCCGGGGTCGGCGCCGGGAAAAGGCGGAGCCCCCTCAGGAGGGGCCGGAAAAGGGGTTGGGCGAGGTGACGTCACCGCCCGCCCTTTCGAGTACCGCCCCTATCCATGGAAAGCGCCTGGATTTGGCCGTTTTGGTTGAATCCCAGGGGATTTAGGCTCAGTAGAAGGGGATTTAGGCTCCATCCCCAGGGGATTTTGGTTCCATCCCACCATTTCTAGGCGGATTAATTCCGCCGTTCCCGGCTGGATTTACGAGGGAACGCGGAGCGCTCTGAGGCGCCCACAGAGTTGCCCTCAACAAACAGGGCCGCGGTGCTTCTCTCGCGAGACCTCTGGCGAGAAGCCCCAAAGGCGGCGCGGACCAATCAGAAGCCGCGCCGGCCAGAAGTACTGGCAGAAATTCCCATGGCTTTGGCGTCGGCAGCTGCTTCCGGCGAATCCGCGGTGCATTGTGGGCATTGTGGTCCCCGTGGGGCCCAGCGGCGGAGGAGCGGGGCTGAGGCCGCCGTTGGGGAGGGGGCGGGGCGGGAATTTGCGGGCGCCGAGGGAGCCCCGGGACCCCCCCCGGCAGCGCGCAATGGGCGACAGCGACCGCGGTCAGCACTGGGAGCGGGGAAAGGGGGAGGGGCGATGAGGGGGGGTTTGGAGGGGTTATGAAAGGACTGGGAGGGACTGAGGGAGAACTGGGGGTCCTGAGGGGATGTGGGGTGTTCTGAGGGCGTTTGGGGAGATCGAGAGGGAGAACTGGGGGTCGTGAGGATATTTGGGGGATCCTGAGGGGGTTTGGGGGGATGTGAGGGGATGTGAGGGGGTAAGAGGGAGAACTGAAGATCCTGAGGGTATTTGGGGGGTCCTGAGGGGGTTTGGGGGGATGTGAGGGGGCTGAGGGGTTGTGAGGGGGTTTGGGACGTGGTGAGGGGATGTGGAGGGTCCCCGGGGGAGAATTAGGTGTCCTGAGGGGGTTTGTGGGGTTCTGAGGAGATCTGGGGGGGTCTTGAGGGGATATAGAGAACTCATGAGGAAATCTGGGGGGATTCTGAGGAGATTTTCAAGGGTCCTAAGGAGGATATGGGAGCCCTGCGGGGGACGTGGGGTACTGAGGGTAGTATGGAGGTTGTGAGGGCATTTGGGGGCATTCTGAGTGGGTTTGGGAGGATTTGGGGAGTTTTCGACTAGATTTGGGGCATCCTGAGGGAATTTTGGATATCCCCGAGTGGATTTTGTGGGTCCCTGACTGGATTAGGGGTGATTTGGGGTTATTTTGGGGTCCCCGAATGGATTTTGGGGCATTTGGGGAATTTTGGGCTCCCTGGCTGGATTTTGGGGTATTTTCTGGTAATATTGGGGTCCCTGACTGGATTCTAGGAGGATTTGGGGTAATTTAGGAGTCTCTGATGGGATTTTGGAGTATTTACCCGTGTTTTTGGGGTAAGTTTGGTCTTCTGACCAGATTTTGGGGTGCCTGCCCTGATTTTGGGATATTTTGGGATACCTGACTGGAATTTGGGGTTATTTTGGGTCATTTTGGGGTTCCTCACCAGATTTTTGCCATTTTGGGGTAATTTCATGGTCCCTGACCGAAGTTTGGGGATTTTTTTGGGTATTTTGGAATAATTTTGTGATCTCTGGCTGCAATTTTGGGGTTTTTTGGGCTATTTTTGTAGGACAACAAGGGAAGGATGGTCGGGATGGAGAGAGACGGGTTCTCTGAAGCCAGGTCATGGAACTTGGGGTTTATTGCAAAGGGCCTGGGTGCAGGGCCCTGCTTGGAGCTGCCAGGCACAGCTGGAGTAGGCCTGAGAGAGGGAGAAGAGTGGTGTTATATTTGCCCAATTATCCCATCATCAACAAAACCAAACACTATTAAAGGTAGCAGCAATTTTCATTGAATAGCTTAGAATATATAAAATCGGACACACTTGAAATATTGACAATGTAATTTGGTTAAAATAAGGGATAATTTGGTTCCAATAATAGCGCATTAGCAAAAAAAACCAAACAGCGAGGGGTACGGAGTGCAGGGCCCTTGGACCCCTGCTACCTCACGTAGGAGCTTGCCAAGGGAAAATTCCCCCTGTTGTGCCATGTGTCAATGCCATCTCCTCCCATTTTCAAATCATCGCACTTCTACCTCTGCCCTCATCACCACCTTTACCGCGCATGCTCCACCACTCGCTTTGGTGGTCACACCCGTCTTTGGATGTCGTAACTGATGAAGGCCTCTCCTCTTCCTCGATGTCCTTTAATTCACCCTTGGGTTACACATGTGCACCAAGCCAGTATAATGTACGCCAAAACTAACATATAATATTATATTTAAGTGTCAAAACAACAAATCTCTAATAACTAGCATTTTCCTGGGACCCCACCAGATTTTCCTTTCTTTCTGTTAATTTTTAGTAACTGTTATCTCTTGCTGTTTCCTGCCTTGAACATCTGCAGGAAAGGGGGGGGGAATGGAACCCCTCCTCCCCTTTCTTTCTTGGCATTACACCTGTTAACTGTTTTATTATTGCCAAATATTAATTACTGTATCAATATTAATTACTGTTTCAATTTTGTCAGCACGAATCATACCTATTTAGCACACTTATCATGATCCTCCTCTGAGTTTTTGGAGTTCTCTGTCAGAAATCTCTCCCCTCCCCCACTCATCCACAGGGCTTTGGGGCGGTTTTCCCTTTTTGGGGGAAATCAAAGCGATGCCCTGATGCTCCTAATTAGAGGGAGGAGAAGTGAGGCTCCAGGGCTTCCCGCTGAGCCGGAGCCACCGGAACCGCAGTGCCGGGAAAGCCGTGGCGGGAGGTGCGGAGAAGTTTGTTTGTGTTTTCAGCTCAAAACCCCTCGGGCCCGGGCCCGTTCCAGGGCTGTTCCTCAGCTCCGGCTCTGCCCTCACGCAGCCCGGGGGGCCCTGAGAGCGCGGGGCGGGGCTGTGCCGTGTGCAGAACCCGCCCCTGGCTGGGATTGGGCGATGGTGCCGTCAGTCGTGGTTGTGGCGCGCTGGTTGGTGGGAGCGGGGTGGAGCAGGGCCCCGGTGGCGGGCTGAGGGCGGCCGTGGCTGGGCAGCGGCGCCATTGTCGGAGCGTGTGTGCGGGCCCGTGAGCGGCGGCAGCGGCCGGAGCGCGGTGAGGCGGCGGCGGAGCTCGGAGGCGGCCGCAGCGCAGGTGGGAGCCGCGCTGGGTTGTGCGGGGGCTCGGGGCTGGCTGCGGGCCTCGGGGTCGGCAGGGGGCTCGGGCGGGTTCGTAGTGCCGTGTCCGACCCGTGTTGCCGCTGGCGTGAGGGCGCTGCGGGAGCGGCTGCCCGCGGTCTCCTTGCGGCCGCTGCCTCGGCAGGAGCCGCTGTCGGAGCAGCGCTGGCTCGGCCCGGTTGCTGTGGCTGGGACAGAGGGGGCTGCCCCGTGCCCGGGGCTGTGCGGGGAAATTCCCGTGGCCGGAGGTTTCTGTGCGCAGAGGAGACAGAGGAGTCCTGTAAAAGTGACTTTATTGCTGAGCAGAGGGAGAGGCCGTGGGGCATTTGCCGTGCGGTCTCTGCCATTGTTGTAGTTCGCAGCCTCCTTTTTATCCTCATTTTCCCGGCCTCATCTCCCTCTCCCTTTGCGCACTGGCTGAGGTACTTGGAAGGTTCAGACCTCCCGATCCGGTAACTGCATGTCCTCGTAATGTGCACCCCCACTTCTGTAGAACAGCCGATATTCACTGCTCTGTTAAGTCTTTGTTCTTCTGGAAGTTCAGGAATTCAGCAGGACTTTGTCTGATCGGCGGTCCATGTAAATTAGTAATAGTTTTTGAAACTGATGTTTTTTCCCTTCCTTATGTACGAATCCCTGACCCAATCTCTAGGCAGATTCACTCAGTGATTTTTTTTTTCTTTCCCTTTTTTTTTTTTTTTTTTTTTTTTCCTACTGAGAGTTGTTTGGTTTTGGGATTATTCGCAGTGCCCTCATTCCCTGTCCTTCTGTAGCCGTTTCTGGATCAGGAGGCCTGGCTGCCACCTGCATGCCCTCACTCCGCTGCTGAATGAGCTGCATTCTCAAGGTGTGGAGCATGGTAAAAAGATGAGAGTTGCTGTAGCACGTCAGAGGAGAAACAACATTCGTTTAACCCATGGTCTGTCAGGGACCCACGAAACCATGTCCCCTTCCCATCCTTTCCACATTTGGACCAATACATGAACTGCTTTTTTGTTTCCGTTGG